TAAATTTGATGCATCAGCGCATGCGCTGCGCATCACTTCTACTGCTCATGCGCGGAACTATTTGCTCTTCTTTGCGGATGATAGCCGATCTGCTTGTACTTGTTTTGCAAGTCTCGTGCGAGGTGTAACGTAAACGAGTTTGTATATTTTAAACATGGCAAATAGTTCATGCAATAATGAAATATTTTTAACTTTACGGCGCACTATTGTGTGAGTGATACTCGTGTATTCTGTCAAAGTATTTTGGATATGATATTTCTTACCAGAGAGGTATGATGGCACAGATTTTATTAGATTACACAGCTGTGTGAGACAACCCCATCTTTAACGGTACATTATACAGTGCGCGATTGCTTTTTCATAAGTGTTATTGTCAAACCGATGTTACAAACAACACTTTTTCACTGCATTTATTTTATTGCCAGTGTTATTCTCGCATACTATTATTTGTATGTTATAACCTACATTGCTGTACAAACATTACGTCAGCCTTTGTTTACCGGCTTCCAATCACGTTAATCTATAACAAGCAATCTGAACATTATTTTATTCGTGTGTTTTCACTGGCTCATTGTACAACTGGAGAACCATAATGTTTCTGTATGTGAAATCAGATGATGGCTTGTTTCATAAAGTTACGGATGCTGAAATCTCAAAATTAGAGGTTCCCCACGGAAAATTTAAAAAATACTCAGTTCATCCATCATCAGGGGCCACGTCTTTTGACGCTATCATCGTTTTTACTGCAGGTATGTACTTATTTATATGAATATATTCTTGTATAAAATAGCTATTCCACAAAAATTGGTACATCCTCATACAACCCTATATAAAAGCAAAATTAAACGATTTCACACGGTAACGATCAGGTTTTACCAGGTTTTTTTTATATCATTACAAATTCGAAAAAATCGTACATTTTCATATTTTTCTTTTATCTTAACGTTTTCAATGACTCGTCAATGTATGATGGAGAAAATTACTTTTAATTTTTTTGAAAAAATCGATACATCGCTTCGTTTTCGAGATATCGAGGTCTAAACTTTCAACACGTTGCTTTGTATGACTCAGCTTGTGTAATCGCTGTCGAGTTTCATATTTAAAACTCTTTTGAGTTGTATAAATCGAAACTACTTACTTGAGCTCAAACTGAGCACTAATGAACAAATTTGACTTCGAATTCCAAGTTAATGTAATTTAAATTGTATAATATCAAAAATTATCACGTCCATTATGAGTACAATGGTTAATATTTAATATCGCAACTAAAATCTATTAAGGGCATCTACCGGCTTACCTCGATTACAGTATTACGTGTAACGTTATTAAAACATGTTGCAAAGAGTTTTCCTTTTTTGTCTCATTTAGTCAATTGAAAATAAAGAGGGGAAGGGTCTTGTTGCCGAAAAATTCTTTACACATTTTCGAGAAAACAGAGCGGAGAAATCTCGGCTCGGGCGCCATAAGTGTGTGTGTGTGTGTGTGTGAATATATATATATATATATATNCAAGAATTTTCACAAAGCTCATGAAACCGGTCCTAACGGCCTTGATATCAAAGGGCGTGAGGCTGGTGGCATACCTCGACGACCTGTTGATCCTAGCTGAGGACGAAAGAACTTGTGCACATCACGCACAACTAACACAAAACCTGCTCCAAGGGTTGGGATTCATAATTAACTGGGAAAAGAGCATACTGACCCCCAAGCAGTCAATGGAATTCTTAGGATTGATTCTTAACTCCAACAAACTAACTCTAGAGTTACCCAAGGAAAAACGAATCAAAATAAAAACCGACTTAATACGAGCCCTTAGCCAGGACAGCATTCGGGTCAGGGACCTAGTGGCTCTAATCGGGGTTTTGGTCGCAGCATGCCCGGCCGTCGCCTACAGCTGGCTCTATTACAAGGAACTGGAGCAGGTTAAACAATCAGCCTTGAGGTACGTAAACCACAGGTCTAAAAAGTGGGTCAACTGGTCCTCGGGGGCGATAACAGACCTCAAATGGTGGCTGAGCCAGATCGACCACAACACCAACAAACTTAGATGCGCATCCTACGACATGGAAATCTTCTCAGATGCCTCCTTGTCAGGCTGGGGGGCCGTCTGTGGAACGCGAAAAGCCCAGGGGTTCTGGTCAGATGAGGAAAGCACGAAGCACATCAATTACTTAGAAATACTCGCAGCATGCCTTGCACAAATACTTTGCGAGTAACTGCCGTGGTGCACAAATACTACTTCGCATAGACAACATTACAGCTCTCGCCTACATAAACAAAATGGGAGGAACCAGGCACCCAGAACTCCATGACCTGACTCGCCACATATGGGAATGGTGCATGGAAAGAGGCTTATGGATCTTCGCAGAGTACGTAGCCTCTAAAGATAACTTGGCAGACGAGGGATCAAGGCTTTCAAACATCGACACGGAATGGAAATTGGCAGACTACGCTTTCGAAGATATACTGGCACGATTTGGAACGCCCTCCATTGACCTCTTTGCATCAAGGGCAAATACCAAGTGCAGCAGGTATTGTGCTTGGGACAAAGATCCGGAGGCTGTCGCAGTCAACGCACTCACCATACCCTGGACCAAGGAGTTCTGGTACGCCTTTCCCCCATTCGCGTTGTTGTCGAGGATTTTAAAAAATGTACGAGAGGAGGCAACCACCGGTATCTTGGTAATCCCTTTCTGGCCAGGACAACCCTGGTTCCCGACGTTTAACAAACTACTGATAAGTGAGGTTGTGCATTGGGGACCCTCTCCTAACTTATTATCTGCACCCAATAGATGCCTGATCCACCCGCTGGCCCACAGCCTTACTCTGGCTGCAGGAGTCTTATCAGGCAAGCGTACCGAAGACAGGGACTAACAAAGGATACGTTGGACAAACTGGCGGCCTCACTGGCGGACAACTCAATCAGACAATACAACTCGGCCTTGAGGTACTGGTGGGACTTTTGCCAGGAACATAATTACGACCCACTGACAGCCAGCGAGGCAATCGTAGTCTCATGCCTCACACGAAGACACAAGGAAGGTGCAGCCTACGGATCTGTCAATACGCTGCGCTCTGCCATCGCCTTGATCAACGGGATCGACACCTCGAAATCAGCGCTCATCAACAGGTTCTTCAAGGGGATCTTCAGGCTGCGCCCAACAGAGTCAAAGTACGCCGTGACTTGGGATGTTGGGCTGGTGCTAGACTTGTTGGAAACATGGGGACCGAACAAGGAGTTGGACTTGAAGAAACTAACCCTAAAGTGCTGCATTTTACTGGCACTAGGAACAGCTTTTCGGATACAATCGCTCCAGCTCATCAAACTCGAAAGCATAAAGTTTACGAAGCACGGCATAGTCATCACAATCAAGGACCTAATCAAAACATCTAAGGCTAGCGGTAACCGCCCGCAAGCAACCATCCCAAACTTTCACAAGCCCACACTATGCGTGGCTAGAACAGTTACGGACTACGTATCCAGAACGCAGACCATCTGCGGGGAAGACCAACAGCTGTTAATCTCATGGAATCCCCCACATAACGCAGTGGGCACACAAACCATCAGTCGATGGATTCGAGAGATTTTATCTGAAACAGGCATACAAAAGGAGTTCACAGCACACTCTACCAGACACTCCTCCACATCCAAGGCAAAGGCCCAAGGCCTGGACATTAGCATCATCAAGAACGCAGCAGGCTGGTCCGAAGCCTCCAAAGTGTTCAACAAATTCTACAACAAGCCTATCGTCGATCAAGTCAACAACTTTGCACTAAGCATACTGAATGCTCAAAAACAAACTCAAGTTGACAATTATCTTGGAATCTCTTTAAGCACTTATAGATTGTAATACTTTTGGAAAATCTTCTACCTTTTTAGAATAAACTTTTGATTGAAAACCAGACAAGCTCTAAACATCTACATATGTCCTCGAGCAAGGAAATGAAATATAATTGGTGATTAAACGAACTAGTGAAGTTCGATCACAATTATATGAATGAGTTGCTCGAGGACATAATTTCCCACCCAGATAAACACACAGGGGAAATACTTATTCTCATTTCCCAGTCCCCTCCCAATCTAAGTATACAGATCCAAACTAAATGAATCAACGATGGATGGCGGTAAGCGAGGGGGGCAAGAGCCCCCGATGGCCGGTTTCTCGCTTGTCTCTGAACGTTGGCGTCACCTAGCGGTGAGAGTGGTACTACTACATATGTCCTCGAGCAACTCATTCATATAATTGTGATCGAACTTCACTAGTTCGTTTAATCACCAAGTATCCAGCGCCAGTGACACGCCAAAAGGTGACGACACGTTCCAATGAATAAGTAAATGGTAGCGTACCGTCGAATCCTGGCGTCGAGCTGGCGCTGGATATCTAGAGGTTACGGAACACCACTCCTGTAGGGTCTACCCATGCACTACACAAAGCACCAAAACACGAGAATAACATTGACTAGTATATCTATATACACAATGCACTGCGCGCGGAATTCAAATAAGATATATGGGCAATAAAGCGAAAAAACGTTTACCACCACAAAATGACTTATCTATTAAAAAAAATATTTAAATCGAAGAAATCACTCACCATTAACCCAATAGTCTCCTCTTTCTGTACTTGAGTGGTTTAAGATTATTCGAATCGAAGAATTTAATTGCAAGTGACTCAATAGGCTCCTCTATTTGTACTGTGGTGGTTAAAGATATTTAAACTCAAGAAATCAAGCCCAAGTGAGCCAATAAGCTCCTCTATCTGTACTGGAGTGGTTTAAGATATTTAAACCCAAGAAAGTGATACCAAGCAACTCAATAGGCCCTACTGTCTGTACTGGGGCGGTTTAAAATTATGTAAACCCAAGAAATTATTCTCCGTCGACCCAATGATCCCCTCTGTCTGGGGTGGTATCACGTAACTTTTTTCGCTTCTAGTAAAAATATGGACAAACCAATTTTCAAAGTGCAGACTTTACTTAAAAGTTTTTTTTGTGTAAGTATTTTTTTGCCAATATTACGGCCGCACATGTATAATATAACAATAAAGTAATTGGAAAAGTTTCGGAAGAAGAATACTTTAATTTTTTAAAACACCGCTACATTTAACTCAGTTAGCCGGCTATTACTTTTTTCAGTACCTTTTCATTGTGATTTTTTGAATTTGAGAACCACTGCTTTTCGTGAATTGGTGGCTGCAATTAGTCAGCTAGCTTCAGACACATGTGGTTTGTGCCACTTTATTTATTTATTTTTTTTCTATTTAGTTCGTACGTGATAACGGTTGTACTTGTAGACAAAACTTGTGTACACACATGTACATGAATATTTAATTTAAAATACCAAACAATTTTAATCCCGTTAAGTACCATATTTTCATAATTATGGACTTACAATTAAGAAGTTACACAACTGTAATCTGTCTCTTCCTTCTATAATAGATTTACAAACCGATCCATTACAAAACTGATTGAAGATGTTTACTGAATAAGCATTAAGTAAATATTATAAGCAATCAGTGGAATCTCCTTCTTTTTTCCTCATCATGGCTAATGCATTGTTTTACATTATTCTCAATTACTTTGATTGCCGTGTAACTGTAGTTATGCTGTATGTTAAACATGGTGCAATGTATTCACAAACATCTGAAGCTTACATTGAAAAAATCTTAGCATGTTGGTCCTTGGTTTTTACCTTATTCATTCATCAACTGTACACCCTCGACCTCCAACTATTATTTACGACTGTTATATTGTTATCTTATCCGGGTCTCGGTGTCCGTAAGTGTGTACAGTGTGCTTTTAACACACCAACCACCAAACCGTTATCAACAATCACACAACTATTCATTTGCTTAATTGTAAAATATAATGACAGGTTATTGACGATGTAACTGGTAAAAAAATTTTAGATGTCCTGGAGAAAATCGTTGGATAACTTGTCAGAAAGACAAAAAATACGACGAATCGGCAAAGATGTTCAAAACGACATAGATCAGCTGCTTAGCGATTCCGAAGATGATGCGGTGATTCCTTTACCTGCTAACCGTGCCATAAAAGTTCCACACTCTTTAGAAGAAGTAAGGGTTGCACAAGAAGTCAGCGAGGTTCCTAAATAATGTGTGTCACTATTACACAGCGTGGTAGCCAGTAATAATGAACAGCTGTGTGAATTCGATGTTTTTTTGTCATCTCTGCGTATTGACTTAAACGGTGATGACGTAAACGAATCGCTTCCAGATTGCTACAGTGATTGTACGGATAGTAGTGATGACTCATGTATGACTGATGATTATGATGAGGACGACAATATTGTCAAGGATGATAAAAAAGAATCGGTTTTTGATTTAAAAAGCGAATTGCGTAATTGGTATGTTGAAAGCAGAGCAGTGTCTCGTGGTACAATGAATAAGCTGCTGAAAATTTTAAGAGAATCGGGCCATACAGAACTGCCTAAAGATGCCCGTACTTTGTTAGGTACTCCGAAGTCTTCGGTTGTGACAGAGTGTCCGCCTGGCGAATGCATGCACTATGGCCTAAAAAATGCTGTAACACAAATTATGTCTAAGGTGTCTGTGTCTGAGTGTATAACGTTCGATGTCAATATTGACGGTTTACCATTGACAAAGTCAACAAAACAGACCTTATGGCCAATCCAAGGAAAACTAATACATTATGACGTTCCGCCCTTTTTAATTGGATGTTATCATAGAACAGAAAAACCACAGTTTCTGGATTCTTAATTGCAGCAATTAATTACGGAATATTTGGAATTAAGCACAGAGGGATTCATGTACGACGGTAAGCACTACAAAACAGTTTTAAGGTGTGTAATATGTGATTCGCCAGCCAGAAGTTTCTGTGCATGCACAAAACAGCATAATGGATACTTCAGCTGCGGAAAATGCACAGAGGAAGGCACTTTTACAGAAAACCGAATGGTTTTTCTTAATGAAAATGCAAGCCTTCGGACTGATAAAAGTTTCCGCAACCGGGAACAACAGGAACATCATCGGGGAACTTCACCGTTTGAGCAAATACCAATCAATATGGTCCTTCAGTTTCCCTTGGATTACATGCACTTGACCTGGTTGGGAGTTACAAAACTCCTTTTAACATTGTTGATCAAGGTAAAACCAAGGCTTAGTGCAAGTGACGTTGATCATATTTCGACCAAATTATTGAACCTATCGAAATTCGTACCTAGAGAGTTCAATCGAAAACCGCGGTCTTTGCTAGAATTGAATCGGTGGAAAGCATCAGAATTTCGCTTTTTCTTATTGTATGCCGTGTTTATTGTTTTTTATGAGGAAATAATACATATTGACTACATATTGCACTTTAATACATTAAGTTGTGCTATACGGATTTTGTGCGACTCATCAAGTAATAATAGTACGATTGACTATGCTGAAGGACTACTACGCTATTTTGTGCAGGAATTAAAAAATGTTTACGGAAAAAAATTTGTAGTGTCGAATGTACATAACACGATACATTTGCCCCAAGATGTTCGATTATATGGCCCGCTCGATACTTTTGGCGCTTTTGATTACGAAAATGATATGAATTTCATAAAAAAAATGATACGTAAATTTAATAAACCTTTACAACAGTTACATCCACGTTTAACAGAAAAAATGCGTCCAACATCCAAAATGTGTACCGTATCAAATAATGTCCCGATATTAATGTCAAAAATCAATATAAGCATACCTTTGAATTGTGTTAGTAGTTATCAGAAATTAAAATTAAAAAACTATACATTGTGTACTGCACGACCTGACAATTGCTGTATTATGGCCGATGGTAAAATTATATTAATCGACTATATAGGGAGAAAAAATTTCGATAGTAAATTGAAGACAGTTGTAATTGGTAGACAATTTTTAGTTAAAAAAGGAATAAAAAATTATCCAGCGGATTCATTACGTTTTAACATATGTGAAGTGATAAATCTGTCCGCAATAGATGTTTTTCTTGCGCAAAATATTATGCAAAAAGCATGTTTCTTCACACAAGATAATAGAAATTTCATAGTACCACTCTTACATCATGAAGGTGGTTCTTTACCTATATATAGCACTAAATTTGTAATATTTAATGTAAGAGATAGTTGACAACAAAGAAGTTCATTCCATTCGTTGAACGGAAATTTTAAGAGTTAAAAAAAATTTTTTTTTAATTTTTCATTAAGCATGTTCAGATACTGTTAAGTACAAAGATGAGCTCAATAAATCTAGAAAATTTTTTTTGTTTCCCATCCGATTCCAATTTTTCAAAGCTTATTTTGTTCCTTGAAAGATTTCAAATAAAGTTACCGAAGAAATTTTTGAAAATATTTGATGTGCAAAAAGTAAACTACTATTGTTTATAAATAATCTTGTTAAATGTATAAACAATTGTACTTAACTTTTTACACATTAAATATTTTAGACATTAAATTTTTTTAAATTTCTTCGATAACTTTATTTGTAATCTTTCAAGGAACAAAACAAGCTTTGAGAAATTACACTCGGATAAGAAACAAAAAAAATGCTCAGATTTAATGAGCTCATCTTTATAATTAACCTTCTTTGAACATGTTTCATGCAAAATAAAAAATAAAAACTTTTTTACACCTTAAATACCCGTTTATCGTATGGAATGAACTTCTTTGTAATTAGATGTAAATTATCTCTTGCATTAGTTATTACAAATTTAGTGCTATGAATAGGTAAAAAACCACCTTAAAGTAGTTGGTTCTAAAATATATTTAAATAGTACTTTACGATACTAGTGCGCGGGCAACGCGATTGACGCATGCATGTCAGTTCCTGCTCGAGCGTGAGCGAGTGCGATGAAAGACATGCGTACGTACGTGGATCGCGTTTCCCCGCGTACGCGTGGCGTATATCATGTTTCTACGGAAGCCCGGTCACGACACCTACTGGCATGAAAGTTGTCATGCACGCCTGCGAGTTCGAGTGCAAGTTGTCGTGCACAAATGCAAATTGTCGTGCACGAATGCAAGTTGTCGTGCTGGTGCTTTTACCTTATATTGTGGTGTCCTGGCTTAATGATTTTCCTTATTAATGTGTTAGGCGACAAATCTCTAAGAATTTAGAAAAACTAACGTCACGTTCACGTGATGTCTGCTTGAAATAGTGTTTGATTAACACTTTAAAAAAATATTTACTTTCTTTTCCTATACATATGATTCATTTACGATGGTACTGTTATGTATATATTTCATTAAAATACCATAGCGATATGCTGTAAAAGTTGACTTAATCCTCCTGCATGCCCATTTTTTGTGAAGAGCAACTATTTTTTGGTAGTTAACCTCGTACATCATTGACTTACTATTGTACAATAACGTTGATGTAACGCCATAATATAACAACATGTTGTAATTCAAAATAGTAAATAATTAATATTTATCTTTGTATGCTACGTATGGACTTGAAAATGAAACAAGAGTATTCAATTTCATTATAGTGTCCTTGCATAAATAAAGTATGAACATCTATCTTTACGTACGTAAAACGTAAAAATCACTGAATTCTTTGAAGATGAAATTGTTTTCATCTACATAGTACCATAATATTTAAGATCCATTAATGTGAATAATTCTTTTCAGATGAACTATTACGTGGTTTTTTTCGAATCTTATTGTTCCGTTGCACCACGTCATTGGATAAATGAGACAACTAAGGTACTGTACTGGCTTCCTAAGAAAAAGTTATTAAAATTTGATTATGACACCCTCATACCATCTGATAACTGGAGTGAATATAACATAAAACGTTCAATAGGCACATTTAGTAAGTGTGCAAGTACTGTTTCTCTTATTTTGATAAAGCTTATAGAAGTAGCGTCAGTAACTGTACTTATAGACCGACTGGTAACTACAGCTTGTAACAACGTTAACGCCATCAATTACCCAAAATAGTTTTTCAGCACTTTTTTTAAATATTTTTTTTCCTGTTATTGCCATACGAATGATGTCAGATATCGTCTTATGTTTCGTTTATTCAAAGAATTTAAGTAAATGATAAAGAATTGATGGTTTACAGAGTAAACTCCAGTAAACCTCTGTGCTGAAAGTGGTCTCATAGGATCCTCTTACATCCTAAGTCGCACAATTTAGAATGATGCCAGTACTGAGGTAGAAAATCTGTGGATCGAGTTACTTAAATAAGTGTAATGCGTCATATATCGTATTATGACACCCCTGTGGATTGTAGCTGTATGTTTTTTTTAATGTGATGATTTTTATCCATAAAATCACTTGTTACGTAGGATTCTATAAGCCCTCGCACATGTTTTTTCTCTTCTTCGTTGCACCCCGATATGTCGACTAACTCCATTATTTTGTCTACTCGCGCTTTCCTGCAACTTAGGACGTCTGTTTTAATGTTTTCCTCAAGTATTTGAGTATTCTCGTTGTCACGGCCATCCTTGTCACAACCCTCGTTTCCCACGATATTTTTCTTCGTACATGTGCAGCTGGCGTCGTTTCTTATCTCATTGCCTAGTTTTTCATTCTCTTCAGGGTTTTCAGTTTCTCTAAACATCCGTACAAAGGCTCTTTCTAATGCTTCTACGTCATCCCCATTGACGTCCGATGAGTCAGCTTTCTTCGTCGTCTCACACTCTAAGAGGTCCACCACTGGGACTGGTACATTTATTATTTCATTTAATATATTTAGACAT